GCCACGGTTTACGTCAAGAGCGTAGCGCTACGCTACGGCGGCGTAGGCTGTAGTGAACGTAGTAAATGAAAGAAGTATTACCGGTACACGATTTTAAACTCTATTTGAATGTTGTTTAAATTTAAAATGAACTAACAGTTAATTTCCTTTGAGAGATCTGGATGATTTTAATAAAACATGAATTCCTATATTATACTGAAAAATTTCCGAAAGGACTTTTTCCTTCATTTAAAAATGCTCATAGAATAGAATTTAAGGAATAAGTCTAGATGGATGGCATTATACCTATTCCTAGTCTATGTTTGAGAAGCTATTAGTTTCAACAAGGCTACAATTGATAATAATTTTTAACTTAAAATAGACTATTACGTAACATATTTTGATTCTGTTTTTTGTGTCATATCAAATACTTTTATATTAATAACTAGCTGTCGCCCGCGACTCCGTCCGCGTGTATATATAAAAAAACTTAATTAGTGTAGCCCACCCATCCATCCATCCCTATTACATCCATCTAAACATTTGCATTAATAATATTAGTAAGTTAAATAAAAAGCAGCTCTTTAAGCCATAAATTCGAAAAAAAATGAATAAAAATTATAGTATCCTATGTCCGTCTCCTGGCTATAAGATACCTCCTCACCAATTTTCAGGCATATCGGTAAAGCCGTTCTTTAGTTATAAATAATGTAACTAACACAACTTTCTTTTATATATATAAGAAGATAATATCGTTAAAATACCTTCATTGCAAAAATTTTATTATATGCTAAAATATACATATAACATTATATATTATGTATTTATTGTGTACATTAAGGGTTATGTTATTCTGTAAGTTTAAATTAAATCATGGATAAGCATCGATAACACAATTTTGAGTTAATTGTGAAACAATAAAATAACAGCCATTCTTTTGAGACCCAAAAACCCTTTTTGCGTGTGAAATGTGCAAGGCCTCATAAAGCGAGGCTTTTTCATGTCAGAATTTTTTACGACAACCCACACTAAGAAATACTAAACTACGAAAACATTTTGACTATTTTGATATCTCCAATATGGATACTATACAAATAGTACAGTAGTATACACAAAAAATATATGTCGACAACCCTAACTGAATAGGGCTGTACCAATATGACAGAGAACCAATATAACATAATTTGGTATTAGGAAAGTTATAATCCCTAAATCCATTAGGTTAGTCAAAGTACGTTATTCAATATGTCTGGAAAGTTCCGGTATTGAGGTTCCTTTCAATAGCAGGTAAAGACGTGTGCTCTCGAATAATCCAATTTTTGGATCGACAATCCCGACGTCGGGGCACGATTTAAATCATTCAACCGACGACTGTATTTCTTCGTTCACTATTTCTATTGAATTCTACATGGGATTTACTTTCAACTATGTCTTAATATGAGAATTAATGATCTAATTATCTTTAGTATAATTTCGACTGTTATTATTAGTATAGGTCATTTTATAGATTTTAACAATTGTGCGACACAAGTGAGTTGATTTCACGTCAAATTTGCACTCCTTAATGTCATTGTAAATTTCTCATTATTTAATCTTAATTACATATCCGGTATAAACCAACTTAGAAGATAAAAAGAATAAGAAAAAGAACAAAAAATACGATAGGAAAGTAATTAAAAGATAATAAATAAATTTGAGGAAATGAACATTAACACTCCAATGAAAACATACGAGGGAACCCTAAATCGCACGCCGTACTTTGGGAATCTCAACCCGGCCGGTACTTACGCAGCGAGTCGTGGGGGTTCTGTGGGGAGTCAGGGGGTGGGTGGGGGGTGTGTCCCGCCCCCGCCCCCCTGCCACCTGCCGGTCAACGACCCCACAGCTGACGCGGCTCAATGAGTACGTAGTACGCGACCTACGTATACAAAATACAGTTTCGCGTAGGTCTCAAATGTCAGATACGATTTTTTACTGCAACTTGAAAAAGGAACGGAAAAGTAATTTGTTTTCGTTTTATTTAACTTTGTTTTTAATCGTGGCTGCCTCTTCTTCTTTACGTTTCATTCACTTTTTTTTATTTTAAAAGTGCAATTTTATATTCGAAGTAGTGTTCTCTGAATTTAAAAAAAGCAACGATTTATTTTTTAACAAAAATACGAGATAGTGACTTATTAATAACTTTTTTTAGGAAAATTAAAAAAAAAACTTTTGACCGAGAGGAATAACAGAAATGATTAATAATTTCCACAAAAAGCCATCAAATTTGAAATATTCTTCTTCCTACCATTTATCATGTCTTTTTTGTGAAACTGAAGAATTAAAAACAGGTTAATTGTAGAAAATAATACTAAAAAAACAAACCTAAAAAAAATAGTCTGAGTCAGTCACGAAAGAAACTTCAAAGTAGCAATGAAGTTAACTAAAGTTGTTAACATTTAAAACTAGATGGCGTTATTCTGAAAAAAAAGTCGACAATAGCTCCCCCTGACGAGTGCTTACCTTACTAAAGTATCCTACAATATGACATCCCTCGTGGTCTGCGCAGGTCATTACGTAGAAGAGGAAGGGTTCCACGTCGTAGTACAACGTCTTGTGGTCGAGGAAGAACTTGGCGAGGAGACAGAGCTGCTGGCAGTACTGCTTGTGCTTCCTCCCGTCCACCTGCCACACGCTCAGCTTGTCCTTGCGGTATACCTAAATAATTAAATCTTTTAAATCAAAGCCGAATGAACTCCGAAACTATTAAGCTAATATGAAAAATTCATGATTGGGAAGCTACACTGTCCGAGGGTGAAATAGGCTCTTGTTATTACTAGACTGGCTATCGCCCGCGACTGCGTTTGCGCGGAATTAAACAAAAACTTAGTAGTTGCCTATGTGTTATTCTAGGCTATGTTTTACATCTATGCCAAATTTCAGTGAGATCCATGAAGACTTTCTAGAGATACCTTCTAACAAACATCCATCCATCCATCCAAACATTCGCATTTAATATAAGTAATTAATATTTTCATACGAATTACAAAAATATTATGCAAAATAGGACATTACACTAAAAAAAGCTAAAATTATAAAATCATTTTTTTTTAATTTACAAAGTTTTTATATGAAAACGTAAGATGCAATTTTACGATGTTTCTGAGTAAATTAGCCACAGTACCTCATCACCAGGCGGATGTCTCCAGACGCACTTGGTACGATGTCGTGCTGCACCCGCAGCGCACTTGTGATGTCCCAGGCAGAACTCGCACACGAACAGACGTGGTACGCGCGCCGCGTCCCCCGGGTACGGGGACTGGTACCACACCTCCATCATGTATTTGCCCATCACTACGTATCTACACAATGTACAATCACCTGATGTCATTTTGGCTTAACACTTTTTTAACCTTTAGTTACCATGAAGTCGTTTATACGTGTTCCGTACCTCATAGGAAAAAAATGGAACCCTTATAGGATCACTTTGTTGTCCGTCTGTCTGTCTGTCAAGACCCTTTTTTTAGAGAAAACTACGTCAAGTAAATATTTAAATAAATATTAAAACTAGATTCTGACTTTAGCAAGAAGTAATATTTCATTAAAATATTTAAATCACAGTCAAATTGTGTCACAAAAAGCAATTTAAAATATAATAATTAAAAAAAAACGTATTAATATAAAACTAATGAAAACTCTCAACAAACACAAAACATAGTTCTATTAATTTGTATCGTCTTATATATGTTTTTTTTACATAAAACATACCTTGTGCCCTTATCAGAAGGCAGATCACCCAGTTCCTCTTCAATTTTAATAGCGGCGAGAGCCTGCGCCTCTCGGAACAAGCGCAAGTCGTAGTCAGGGGCGAAGCCTTCTAGCACTGGCTCTCTCTCCTCCGTCATCTCTTCACTGGACGCGGCCAGCTTCTCCCGAAGTTCTTGACTGCCTTTCCATTTGGAACGTAAGTCCTGACGAAGATATAACACTATAACTCTGGAATTCATTAAATTGATCGAATAAGAGAGAAAAATACCAAAAGATACAGTTTTAAGTCAAATTCACAAAAAAAGCTACTAATCGTGGGTTTCTGAGACTAAAATTCCTATTACATACAATATGTTTTATATGCAGATTTTGATCTCAAAAAACCACGGTTACTGTAGCTACATAACGCTGTCTTATCCATATCCGGCGCCTTGGTACAAAGTTACTCACCTGGTTACCTAAAAATAACATGTAAGAGACCAAAAGTCGGGGCAGGAGGTTGTTGGAGGTGACAGCTAAAACTTTTGAAGCAGAAAAAAGCATACTTTAACTTTGAGCTGATAGGCTCGCTGTTCGATGGTGGGCATGGCGCGGGGTCGCTGGTGCAGCGCGTTGAGTGCGCGGCGTCGTGCGGCGCCGGCAGCTGCGCGCTCCTCGCCCGCCGCCACGCACCACGCCGCCGTCACGTTGTGGTACACCGGGCACGCGTCCCACGTGAAGTGACGACGAGCCTTCCCACCTTACCCATATACACAATATATTTTAACATTTTAA